AAAAAAAAAAAAAAAAAAAAAAAAAAAAAAAAAAAAAAAAAAAAAAAAAAAAAAAAAATAGGCCCTTATCAATAGTTTCATTGTCCCAGAATTGAAACGAACCCACCATTCCCATGAAACCATCTGTTTTGTTTGCTTAGATGTTGTGGGTACATAGAGAAGGGGCAGGGAATGGGGATGTAGGGCCATAAGTCATTTGATCTTTGGAGAAGTCAGGGTGGTATCTGGGAGGCTATGAGCACTGCTTGGGACTAGTGACTTAATATCTTGCCAGACACAAAGCATCAAGAATAAGGACAGCTTCCAAACCAGCCTTTGCTTGTTCTGGTAACAAAAAATAGAAAGCTCAAGAAAATACTTATAAAGAAAAGGAAATAGGCTCAGAGAAAACACCCCAGTTCCCAGACTTTATTTGGCAGGAAAAGAATACAGTGAAGCCAAGGAACCTTTTCCATTCCCCTAATATGCTTTTTTTAACCCTCTTTTTAAAGCTTCTGTCTTAACCCAATATTCCAATTTTAGTGTTACCAATATATCCCAGACCTCACTAGTCCATGACCAAGAGTAAGACCACATTTACTTTTTTCACATTTACCTTTAAATGTCCAATCTCCTCCCCACTAATTGTCAGAATTTAGCTCCTTCCTCCATAGTGTCCCCCAGTTATTCTGAAGGTTCTGTGGTACCACTTTCATGTGTTCAAGAGCAAACTCCAATTTTCCCATCCCAGCCTCACCCTCTTATCCCAGCCTCACCCCATGCCATCTTGTCACTGTGATTACCTTCATTAAATTGTCAGCCTGCAGGACCAAGCTGCCCTCTACCAGATGACTGCCAGTGCCACCCTCTGCCTTCCCAATGGTGGACTTGGTGGAAGACACTACTCTCCCCTTTCTTTCTAACGCACAGATATATGCCCTGTTTCATTACCAAGCAACAGGGTTGAAGTTAAACTATGGCTTTTGATGGGATTTACGAAATATTGGGGTAATGTAAAGAAGTATAACATAGCGAATGGTTTATAACCACCACATGGGCACAGACTTAAGGTCAGTTACCAGGTAGGTTCCTGCCTGGCCTCTCTGCACATGGCCAAGTAAAGCTAATCTCTGCCCCCACGGTTGCCCTCTCTGCAGGATGGTTGAGATGTCTGTTCCCCCCTTTCACCTCTTCAGTAAATATTTGTTGAATGTCTAGAATGTTCCTGGTACTGTAGTAAACACAGAAGATATAGTGGAGACCAAAACAGGACATATAGGAGAACCAGAGGGGCTCGAGTGCAGAGAGTGGAGGTGGAGTGGTGCTGATATGGCTAATAGGGAGGCCAGGGAGCCATTCCAGGTAGGCACTAGCAGGCCAGGGCAAGATTTGGGGATTTTATCCCAAGTGTAATTGACTGTTATTGAAGGGTTATGAGCAGGGAAATAAATGGCATGTTTTGGTTGATATTTTAAAAACATTCTGGCCTCCATGTGGAGAATGAATGGAAGAAGGGCAAGAGGGCAGTCGAAAGATAGCCAGTGACTTTCCCAGTGGTCTAAGAGGTGATGGTGGCTTAGACCATGGCATCAGGAGAAGAGATAGAAAAGTTTCATGATATGTTTAGAGTAGAACTAAGGGCCCGGCCAATGTTGCTCCGTGGTTGAACGTCAGCCTATGAACCAAGAGGTCATGGTTCAATTTCCAGTCAGGGCACATGCCTGGGTTGTGGGCTTGATCCCCAGCGAAGGGCATGCAGGAGACAACCGATCAATGACTCTCATTATTGATGTTTCTATCTCTCCCTCTCCCTTCCTCTCTCTGAAACCAAAAAAAAAAAACATAAAAAAACCCACATACTCTAGAGTAGAACTAATGGAATTTGATGATAGATTATGTAGGGCAACGTAAGGAGAGAGGAGAGCCGAGGTGGAGGGTCAAGGAAGGCTTTCAGTTTTTGACTTGGGCAGCTGATAAAAGGTAATCAAACAATAGTCAGTGTATTTCCCAAAGTCACTTTCCACCTGCAAAGCATCTGTCGCCCAGGCCAGGGGCAGGCTCAGGTTAACCCCTTTTCAGTTTGTCTTTTAAACCCTTCAACAGCCTGGTGATCCAGCCTCACCCATGGCTACCCCATTACATCAGTTTTAACAAAAGGTTAATTTTGCATTAGACATCCTGCCAGAATGGACCGCAGTAAACTTCCTTCCTTCCTTCCTTCCTTCCTTCCTTCCTTCCTTCCTTCCTAAGAGAAACAGTTTATCATGGTTATTGAGAACACAGCCTCTAGGTTCAAATCCCACCTCTGTCACTTAATACTTAAGGGGCTTTTGGCAAGTTCCTTAGCCTCTCTGTGACTCAGTTTCCTTCTCTCTGAAATGGAAATAACAGTGTTATCTATTAAATAGAGCTATTATACGGCATAAGTGAATTAATTGTGTGTGTGGTGTATTTCAAACATTGCTTGGCGCACTTTAAGTACTCAGATGGTATTAGAAATTGCTATTGCTCTTCACTAGTTCAAGTATTATGACAACTTCCCACTTCTCCAGCACCATTGTCTGCTAGGAGGCTGCTTGGCAGAGTAGAAAGCCTTTTTGAGTCATACAGATTTGAATTCAAGTCTCTGATCTTCTAACTCCTCTGAACCCAAGTTGCCTCACCTATAATATGAGGACAACCACTTTGAGTGGTTACTGTGAGGATGAAAACAAATCTTTGAGTAGTGGACATCTAATAAGTGTTAGGTTCTTTCCCTACTCAAAAGAAGCTTCCCTTCCTAATTTAAATAGAGCACCTCCACCCTCTGCCACTAAAGAGACCCCAGTGAGAGGAAGGTAATTTCGAACTTTTCATAGGCTTACAGTTTATGAATAAGGCTAATGTTTGTACAGAAATTATACTGTCTTGCCCTTTCAGCACAGTATGGGGCTATTTAAAAGACAGGAACACATCTTACATCCCAGAGAGAATGGTCCACAAAGATTCCATTTGATCCCCAGGCCATTCATGTTTCCCACTTTCAATCAGACCCTTTCCTAATGCCATAACCCACTTCCTCTTCCTGCCCAAGGCCACCGTGAGCAACCAGAGTAAGAAAACACAGGCATCAGCCCACAGAAAACACTTGGTTGTCCTGGAAAGCATACATTGCCTAGACTTTTGTTTTTAAAGCTGACTACACGGTTTCCTTTGGCACAACTGTGAGCATGGCAGAGTTCACTCCAGACGCCTGCTCCTCCCACCTGCGGTCCTTGTGGTGGCCTTGCCCTGACTTCTTGGTACTCACCTCTTTCTGGTTCACAAGAGCTGTTTGCATCTTGATATAAAGATGTTTAAGTTGCTGTGTGTCCCCTCAGGAGCAGTTGCATTTTAAGGCCCATTTCCAAAGTAGAATGAAAACTTTGTCTTATTAAAGAAATGGAAGCCCTAGCTCAGTAGCTCAGTTGGTTAGAGCGTAACCATCCTGATGTGTCAAGGTTGGGGGTTCAATCCCAGGTCAGGGTACATACAAGAACCGACCAGTGAATGAATAAATAAGGGGAACAACAAATTGATGTTTCTCTCTTTCTGTCTCTCTGTCTTCATTCTTCTCTCTCCAAAAATAAAAGAAATGGAAGAATTTCCTGAGCAGATGGAGATTCCCAAAGTATCCTTCCCCTCAGTCCTTGAAATCTCACTCATCCTGCGCTATGGCTGACCCTAAATGGGTAATGTGCTACAAAGACTTTCCCTCTGACAGGCTTTTTGGAGGACCACTGGAGCAATGTAGACTATCCACGGAGATGAGAAAAAGACTAATGCATATGACTATCAACAGCACAGTAAAAAAATGCTCTAATATGACTAATAGGGTTTCTTTGGATTTCAGAGAACAGATTCGTCAAGGCCTTGAAGAACTCCAGAAGGTCCTGCCAGGAGGAGACACTTACATGCATGAAGGATTTGAAAGGGTAATTTTAAAACAATTTTCAACTCCAAACGCAAAGTGTAACATGGAAACATCAACATAAGGATGGCTGATGAGATAAGGCTCATGTATTAAGGGAACTGAATAATACCCAATGGCAAGAGAGTAAAATAAGATTTCCCTGTAAACTTGTACGCTGATAACACTATCCAAAAGAACTGAAGAAATGTCCTTGCTCCTTCCCTGACACTGATGAAAGGTTTGTTAGTTAGCACTTGGCTGACACTCAGGAGTCATGCCACATGCAAATCCTCCCATTCCCAAGGTCACCTTTTCTACGTGTTGCTTCAGTGATTGAGACAGAATTTCAGTGACTTCAATATTAAGGAAGACAAGTTCAGTCTATGAGAAGTAGGACATGCATCCATGTTCACAGTATATTAGTTAAATGTCAGGGTAACTTTAGATGAAGTTCATCCATTGACGTCCATCCATTGCATGAAGCATGGGTAGATTACATGAAGACTGAGCCCCGGCTGCATATCCAGCATCAGAGCCCACTGTCCAGTATGGGATTTGGAGTAGCAAACAGTGGCTGGCTGGCTGTCTAATGGCCCTTTCATGTGTTTTCCAGGCCAGTGAGCAGATTTATTATGAAAACAGTCAAGGTAAGACTATATTATGAATTACCTTTATGAATTATTTAACTTTCTTTTGTGTTTGTTTCTGAAAAAGTGCCTGGCAATTTCATGTTTCAAAAGACATATTTGATATTGACTAGAGTCCTTGGACACACACTTCATCACAAAGAAGGAATGCATTGAAAGATGACACATACGAGGTCCAATTCTACTATCCTATTGATGTTAAGAAAAGTGATTTAAAATTAATTAGATCATGGGCAATGCCCATGAACAGTTTTGTATGTTGAATTCATTAAATTAGTAAATACTTGAATGGGTTAGTAAAGTCTTGGATTTTTATGTCAAATGTATTTTCTTTTCCTTCTCTGGGCTCCAAGCTTCTTCATCCCTTCACTGCTATGATTGGATATGAAATTAAGATTAAGACACCAGTTTGGTTTGAAATTTCCTTCATTTAAATGAAAAAAATACCAAAAATGTACATAATAGAGTACTTAGCACATAGAACTACTTTTTATTATTATTATTGTTCGTATTATTTTGGCTATTATTAAAATTACTATAGTGTGTTTTATGAATAACATTTCTTTATCTAAGGCAAATCTCATTTACAAGATTCAATACTGCAGTGGGAATTTTTCTCCCAGACCTGTAGAAGTGTCTACTTCTGATTTCACTCTAAACTACAACAAATAAAACAGATCCAATATCAACACCAACACTTGTTAATATATTTCAACCATCAGCAATGTTGCTAGAAGCCTAAAAATCACTGCAAGAAGTAATAGTAGGTTTTTCCAACTCCAACTGCTTTAATTCAGTCAGCATATAAATCTAAATCACGATGGCTGTTATTCTTTGCCCAGCTCTTCAAGGGTGGTGCACGTGGTCAACTACAGCATGTAAGAAGGACCCCTGGACAGCCCAGGTGGTAGAGTTTGTCCCCAGGCCTTGGTGATAGTCACATGGACTGTTCCTAGAAATAAGAGAAATTTGATTCAGTGGAGCTACTCCTAGTTATCGGTCCAGAAACCGTTTCACCAGGTTTGGCTGCTTTTTGAGATAAGACTGAGAAACCCAGAGACAAAGCCCAGTCCCCACTAGAGTCTGTCTCTGCATTCTTCTTCGTGCTGGAATTGCTTCCAGTCCCAAAAGAAAAGTTGCTGATTCTCACGATATTGACCTTGGGTGGTTGAGCTTTTAAGAGAGAGACTCTCAGGGCTGAGAGAGGGTTTCCCTTGGTGCGGCAGGATGGACTGAGCGGGTCTGTGTTGTGTTGAGCAGGATACAGGACAGCCAGCGTCATCATTGCTTTGACTGATGGAGAACTCCATGAAGCTCTCTTTTTCTATTCAGAGAGGGAGGTAAGCGACGGTCTGGCCTGTGTCTGTCCAAACAGGCATGGAAAAGGCCTTCTTCCTTCTGAAATGGGCTGCAATCTTTCTACTTGGCCAAAATGATGGTTATTCTTGGTGGGGGGAAAAAAACTGGATAAAATAGTGTTTTATAGGTAAATAATAATAATAATAATAATTTATCTCTTAAAGTGAATCTTCATGTCTTATACGTGGCAGATATATCTCCCTTTCAAAATATTTCTATATTACTCTATGTTTGGGGAGGAAATAAAAATATCTACCATGCCTTTCTAGGAAGCAGTATGTCGATCCATCAGTTTTGAAATACTATATATCATTTTTAAGCAAAAACATGTTTTTCTGAATTTTCCTTCATATTGTCTACTGAAAACAGAAGGGGAAAGAATTACTTGAAATATTTAAGAGCCAATCTTGGCAGAATATATTAATCATTGAGATTCTCACTCTAAGAACCAAACATTAATTGGAAAGTAAATTGTAATCTCTCCTTCAATATTTCTTTTTTTCCTTTTCTTTGTGTTCTCATGAAATATTCCTCAAAGCAAGTAAAATAATTCTCTCTAAATGAAACTCTCAGTTTGTATAAAGAGATTCAGAAAAGGGGGTTTATTCAAAAATTAAGCGATAGCATTTATATTTAGGAAATCCTTTCCTTTCAAGTTTCAGATGTGAGAGCTATGTATATAAATGGCCCAAGGAAACCAGTTAATCGTGGGAATGTATTAAAGTCTCATTAGTGACAAAGGCTTATTCAGGCCAAATTAGAAAGAAACACAATGAGGAAAAAGACATGCAGTGAGGGAGGGAGGTTCTGGCTTCTGGGGAAGAGTTAATCAGAGCATTACACTTACCTCAAGCTCTTGACTACTATTTCATTTAAACCTAGCTCCCTCAGCGAGCAAGAAGTATATATTCATTCATTCATTCATTCATTCATTCATCCACTCAGTGTTAACTGAGAACTTGGCATGTGCTGGGCACTTTGTTAGACTCTAGGGACGCAGGGGTGCGTAAGACAGTAAGACAGTTGCTGCCCTCTTGGGCCTTACCAGGCAATAATATTCTGCTTGTTGAAGTGTCTGCTGGCAAAGGGCATGAGGAAATTATGTAGGTGAGCACATTACTCCCCCAGCACTCACTAGTACAAAGGATAATTCACAGTGGGAAACACACACTCCCTGAGCATTTGGGAAATGATATAATTTCTATACTCTAAAGCTGAAACTATGTCATGGGAATGCAAAATGGCTTATCTGGATGCCCAACAACAGTCAAATAATGTAAAAACCCTAATAAGGAAATAACTGAATATGAAATAAATGATAGTTGTCAGATGCTTAAAATAAGGGTTAATAGAAAAGAATTTTAGGTATGGCATGGACAGACTTGGGAAAATATTTGGAGTGCCAACACCAATAGAAAGAAGGTTCCTGAAAAAGAAAGATAAAACTCGAGATATATAAAGAAAGTGAACCTTTCCATTTTTGATAATTCTATATAAAGCCCAACTGGAGGAAAAGTGTCACAGAAGTTGTTGCAGATAAAGCTGGAGCTAGACTGTGTCTAAAAGTTTGTTTTATTCTGAAAGCCTCAAGAAATATTTCTAACATGAAGGGAAAAAGATGTATGTTTCTGTGCCTTCTAAAATTCAATATTTGGCTCGGCCAGGCTCAGAGGTTGAGCATCAACCTAGGATCCGGGAGATTGAGGTGTGCAATCCCCAGTCGGGGCAAGGCAATCAATGACTCTCTCATCATTGATGTTTCTATTTCTCTCTCTCCTTCTCCCTTCCTCTCTCTGAAATCAATATATAGATATATAGATATATATAGATATATATAATAAAATAAAATAAAATTCAGTATTTGTCACAAGTGAGTTTGAGTACTAACATAAGGGAGGAAGAACACAATTCAAATCAACATGCACATATTGAGCACCTACTGTATGTTTGCTATCAATTATTTATTAAGCACCTACTGTATGCACCAAGGATTTCCAATTATTGCTTTTGATTCTGAAACACAGAAGAACCTGGAAATTGATTATTAGAGCCTTTCATAAATCAAATATTAAAATCAAGCCAAAGCCTGGATGTTGTTTTTTATCTTGCCTTCTCAATACTTAACTGCAGAAAGGGTCATGGGTTCACCTACTCAAATATGGACCATAATCCCCATACCATTAAACCAGTGTGTTCAATGGCAATGAAAATGGCTTTATTCACAAAGGGCACTGACATTTATAAGCATGTGCATCACCCTAGACCTTGTGTGAGGAGCTCTGCATTTATAATCTTATTTAATTCCCATAACACTTTCCAGAGCAAAACCAAGTATCAAGCCCAGGTATATTGGGTTCCAAAGGCCACATCCTTTCCATTATACCATGCTGCTATTACAGAGGAAGAAAAAGTATGCCAAAAAAAATCATCAGAGAAATAGAAAAGATAATCATTTCCCCAGAATAGGTGGTATGACTTACCTTAGCCTACAGTTTCCCTTTCTTCCCTTCATCTTTCAAAGACCATTTCTGTGGCTTTCTCAACACTTCCAATTAGATTAATCACTCCCCTCATGTCCATTATGTTAGAGTGAGACATTCACTAGAGTATAAGCTCTTTGAGGACAGGGATTACCGTCTACATTGCAGTACCTGACACATAGTAGGTGCTCAATAAATACCTGACCATTGCAGTTAGTCTGGCTAATGCAAAAGGAGTATGTTTGCCACTGCTTTTTTCTCTAATGTCTATTCTTTCATTGCCCCAGGCTAACAGATCCCGAGACCTTGGTGCAATTGTTTACTGTGTCGGCGTGAAGGATTTCAATGAAACACAGGTATGATCATGGATTTCCTGCAGTTTGGGAGCATACCAGGTTTGTGAATGATTCGGTACAGAGTGTTCATCAGCAACATAAATACCCCTTAGATAGAGTATTTTTCCAGAAATGCTAAGCAGGAAGGGAATTACTGGATGAGTAAGGAATGTAAAGCCATTTGTTGATGCACTTGACTATCCAGGCAGCATCTTTCTTGGTTGCCTTTCTCGGTGCATGCTAAATTGCCAAGGTGTCAAAACATCTGAATTAACTGGGAAAACTTGTTGGTTGTTTTTAAACTTAATGTAATAAATCTTTTATTATTTAAATGGCAAACATTCTTTTTCTTCCATAAAACATGCAGTGCATTTTCAATACAGAAACAGGAAATAATTGGCAAGTGGGCAAAAAAGTATGTATAAGTATATATAAGCAAATTGTGAAAATTTGCTAATAACCTAAATAAATGATGCTCAGTGTAGTTTGTAATTTCTTTTTGTTGTGATAAGATGGGATGGTGCTCATGATATGTTGTTAAGTGAATAAAATAGGATTGCAAAACATTGGAACTAGTATGAGTCCACTTTCTAAATAAATATGTGTATGTTGCATAGAAAAACTATGAAAGACTGTATATATATCAAATTAACAATAATAGAAATGTGATGGGTGGAGGATGGATGGATGGATGGATGGATGAATAGATGGATCATGAGTAACTTTTTAAAAAATTATTTTAACAATCCTGGGTTTTCTGAAATTTCCCAATGACTCTATGTTGCTTTTGCAATCAATAAGAATCCCGGCACTGACTGTGTCTGTGGCAATCACAGAAATGTACAGAGACCTGAGGGTAGGAAAGTTCACAGAGCAGTTTCTCCTTTCTCAGTCCTCTGCTCCACAAAGCAGGAGCAGCCATACCATAACCAGGGTCCTCTCCTCAGTGAGCACATTGGGCAAAGATAAGCATCCCCAATCTCTGTCCTCACCCAAACCAAAGCTTGAATTTATTTTTAAAGTTGCTCTGAAAGAAAATGAGTTTGTTTGGTTCGAAAACAGTTGCCAACAGAAATTTGGGTGAATGGGAGAAAAATGAGCCAATGGCCTGCCCCCAAATTCATAAATACACCAATCCAGGCCAAATGTTCATCTAGCTGGGCAATCTTACCTCTGCTCCCAAGGAAAAAGTATTAAAACAAATGTAAAAGCTGGCACCAACCCTCTGGGCTCACTCCAGGGAGGCCGCTGGAAAGCTCATTATTACTGAGGCTTTTCAGTGAGGCCCCTGAGCCGAGTCAAAGCCTCAAGTTCCTCTGGGTTCTCAAAGTAAATGGAGTCCCCTGAACCCAGTGACTTTCCTCAGTTCTCCATGTCCAAGCCTGACACATCTTGTGTGTGTTTGTTCTCAGCTGGCCCGGATTGCGGACAGTAAGGACCACGTATTTCCTGTAAATGACGGCTTTCAGGCTCTGCAAGGCATCATCCACTCAGTGAGTAGACCACCTCCTCTGAGACTGGATTTTGGGTCCTGTCTGCCCCTGACCTGCTGTAAATACTCCAGTTCCATCCTTCTGAGGCTGGTGTTTTCCTTCTTGAGAGAACATTCCTCTGTATATCTTTGTATCCGTCATATCCCACTTCTGCCTCCTGCCTTTCGCACCTGTTTCCTTTTTCATTCTCCTGTGCCAATTCTACCCTACAATGGAAAATTAAGCGTGGACAGGAACCCTGCTCTGGCAGCCGGCCAGAGCTCAGGCTGCCCCCAGTTCTCACACTGGAAAGACTGTTGCTAATGGTACACACTTGATAGGCCTCAGCTTTCCCAACCGTGACTAAATGCAAGCTGCCTTCAGAGAATTTGTGGGTTCAACTGGTCTCACGTGGCCATGGGAGGTACTTTCAACCAGTAGTTCTCTACCTTGAATGCCCATTGAAATCACCTAGAGCAGGATTTTATAAGATCTTCCCAGGTGATTTTAATGGAACCACTGCTTTAGACCTCTAATCCCCAAATATTAGGGCTTCAGTGTTCTCCAGGGTTTGCACAATCACCAACCCTCCTTTCCATCCCCACCTGGCTTTTCATCACCCCTTTCCTGTGAATGAACAGAACACTGGCTTCCAAGGACTCTCTTTTCCACCTTCCATACAGAGGCCAGGCCCTTGTTCCACCTGGCATATCGCATGACGCTGGTCTTTAAAGCCTCGGCCAGAAGGTGAGTGTGTGCGCTGCGCCTGTAATGAAGTCCAGAGACGCTACAGCCTCTGCCTCTTAAGTTTTGGGACCAGGCAGACAGCCAGTGGTTTCTCCAGGTGGAGCTCACCAGGCTCCATACTCAGGGTTTAGGAGGCCAATGCTGAACTCAGAGGATCACTGTCCTCTTAGATGGAGTCTTGGCACAGAGGTTACCAGCCAGGGGCTCAGGACCTGCCCAGCTCCCCGAGACTGACCTAAGAAACCTCCAGCATGGATGTGCCTTCATGTTCCCTCTCCCTCCCTCCAAGGTTTGATAGGATCTGGTCAGCCCAGAGTTTAAATGCTCGCCCAGCAAATTACCACTTATAGATCCTTAGATGAGTCATTTCACTTATTTTCTTATTTGTATAAGGGATTGATGATAAGACTTATATTATAGATTTGTTTAATAACAAGATTGCAAGATATAACACTGGTGGTTTTTCCAGGCACACAGCTGGTTCTCAAGGCATATGAATTATTTCCTCTTTCATGTCCCTTCACCATCACATGAGAAACATTAATGTCAGATTCCCCTAATTCTCCAAATTTTCTTGAATATATATAAAAATCACCTGGGAATCTTGTTTGTAATACTCATCCCCAGGCCCTATTCCCAGGAATCTGTATCTTTTAAATCTGTACTTTTAAATAAAGGCCCCAGGTGTATTTCCGAATGTTGATACATGTGACCTTAAGTTTTCAGATTTGTGAAAAATAATCCCACCTCAGGCTGGGAACTCCTTTCTTAAGCATGTACATGTGACAGGCATCTTCTTCCAGATGTGTTTGTTTGCAAGGAACAGAAACTCACTTAAACTCCCTTAACCAGAAAGTGGAAGTAATTAAAGGGATAAAGAACTATCAATCCCAATTGTGGATTCCCAGGTGAGGGGCCCCTGCTGTAAATAATTTCTGGGATCAGGGTGGCATACTTGACAATATAAGCAACAAGAATGGCAATAATCATATAAAACAACATCCAAATGGTGCAAGACATGATTAATAGCAGGATCTAGGCCTGATTGTGAATCCTTTGGAAGCTCAGGGGTGGATGCTTGTGGACTGGAGCCTTCATGAGAAACTGGGGCAGACTTGAGCCCCTGAACCACTGAGGAGGGGTGATAGGGAGCACCAAAGAAGAGATGACATGACCTCAGCCCAGAGTAAAGCATATTCCACCGACAATAATAATACCTGCCTGTCTGGTGGGAGAGTTTGAGTAAAGGAGTCAGGAGTAATGTGACATTGGGTTGGAACCAATTGGCAAGAGCCTTAAAGAGGCTTTAATTTCAACTTAGTGGGTGCAATCACTGAAACATTTTGAATATCTAACAAGCGATATTTAAGAAGAGAATCTGATGACTGTGTATATAGAAGGAAGACTAGGAAGAGCCAGAGGCAGGAGCTTAATCATGAGGCGACTGCAGAAGCCCTGCCCTCAGATGGCTGGATTCTAAACACGGACATGTGTCTACATCATTCAATAGTTGGTTCCTCCTCAAATAATTTGAATTATTTTTATTATGTAATAAAAATTATAATTTTTATCTGCATAAATCTCTGTTGTCCCTAAATATTTCAACCTTAGCAACTCACCCAAGCTCAACTTGAGTCAGGGTGTTTATAAAGTTCTCCTCCCCCAAATGGAAACAACTCAAAGATGTTCAAGAAATTTTAGCAAAAACATCTCCCAAAAAGGGAAAAATAATAATAATTTGAGACTCCAAACTTTTAGCTGAATGATAACATTCTTAGGAGCTTTTATCTGGGAGTTATGCTAGTGGTTTCAATCCTTCCAATATGTGAAACCTGTATTTATGGTAGTTGTTAATTTGTTTGCTTGGACAGAGAAACAGGGACAAGCGCAGTAGGGCTCATCTTTCTCAAGTCAGACAAATAATTATGGTCTAAAAGTTGGCTATTTTTAAGAAGTAAGTTCATTTCTCCTTCTGGATACTGAAAAGAAAGCTCTCGTTTTTCCCCCCATGTGAGGCATCTAATACAGCTCGTTCCCATGGATGTTGTTTTGTGGCTGATTATTTTCTCATAATAAAAGAGGACTGGGCTTAATTATCCAAAATAAGAGTACAGGGCAGCTTTCAATAAGGTCAAATGGTTTATAAAGTCCTCTACCCATAATGACCTTAATTTTAAGATGCAGGGGCTAGTATTTATTTACTCATCAAGTGCTCATTGAAAACCTCTTATGGTGGAGTCTGGCCATTCAATTACAAGTAAAGCAGACAGAGAGACTCTGCCCTGGTGGAGTTTATAATCTAGTAGGAGGGATACATTAAAAACAAGCAAATCAATATGTATCATTAAAATTGGGATATATGGTATAAAAGAAATAACATACTACAGTTCTGACATTAAGAGTGAAGGGGCTGACAAAGAATCCAGGCTCTTTTGAGGAGATGACCTAAGGGATGAAATGGAGCTATTCATTGAAGAGCATGGATAGAGTATTCCTGGCAGAGCAGAGCCCTAGGGTGATGCAGAGAAGAATGTAAGAAGGGCAGTATTTAAGGTGGAGAATGGCTGAAGATGAAGTGGAGATGCAAGCAGAGGCTAAATCACATGGCGCCGGGAAGGCCACGGTAGTTTACTATAGGAACTGTGAGAAGCTGTAGCCAGGCACAAAGTCTGGCAATAGAACAATCATGCTTGGAATCAAGACTCTTGGGGAATCTAGAGGTCGTAGCACTTTACCCATATGCCCTCTAGATGACAAATAAATAAACACTGAGGATCAATAATAATTAGGCCTGTAAAGAAGAAGAAAAAGCACTATGATTTATTGAGCATCTTCTCTGCACCAACTCCTCTGCTAGGCACTTCAAAAACCCTCCCTGAAGAAGAACTCATTATTCCCAGATTACAGGTGAGGAAACTGAGGTGCAGGAAGGTTGAATAAACTACCCCAAGTCTGCCTGCTCATATTTTTCAAAGTGCTCTCATCTGTTTTCCATTTTAGTCTCCCACCCGTAGGACATAGGGAAAAGGCAGAAAGACATCAACAGCTGCAGATAACTGATTTAGGGGCCAAGCATTGTTCCTTTATTCCATTTAGCATTATCCCATTTAAAAATCATAACAACCCTGTGAAGGAATTACAGTGGTACCTCGGTTTTCGAATGTAATCCGTTCCAGAAGACTGTTCGAGTTCTGAAACAGACAACCGAGGGATCCACAGCCAACAGCGAGGCCTCAGGATCTTGCCCTCAGTGGAAGCCGTGTGGCATGTTTGACTTCCGAGGCGTGTTGAAAAACCGAAGCATTTACTTTGGGGTTTACAGCATTGGTAACCCGAAATGTTCGTCAACAGAGACGTTCGAAAACCAAGGTGCCACTGTCCTCTTATTCCCATTTTTACAGGTGAAGGAACTGAAGCTCAGATAACCTACTCAAGAGCACACAGGTCTAACGGGGAGAGTGAGGCTAGAAGCCAGTTCCTTGACTCAAGAGTCTTCTTCTCCCACCTCATTTCCTTAGGAAGATAAAAATCAGAAATGCCACCATTTAGTGAGTTCTCATGTGCTAGACACCATGCAAATCATTTCACATAATTATCAAATTCTCATGACCATAATTTAATGTAGATGTTACTCCCTCTGCAGAAGCAGACACTCTAAAGGAGAGAGAGGTTAGCTAACTTGTCCAAGGCCACACATCAGTGGGCTGTCATCCAGAATAGACCCAGGTCTCTCTCTAATGGCCATGAGGAGAAAGGCCACAAGGCGCTAGTGAATGATGTGGCCAGGCCAGGAAGCAGCTCCATTTTAGAGAAGGAGACACTGACAACCAAAATTGTGAAGTGGCTTGACGCAGTTCACCAAGTTACAGCAGAGGCCAGACGAACCCATGTGGTCCAACCTGAGTGCACCGTGTGTGGGCCGGAGGGCTCTTTGCCTTTTACTGCTGGGTGGAGAGCATCTCTGAAAATCCCAACTTCTGCTCAGCGGATGGATTTCCGTCATCATGAGAAGCTGGCCGCCTGACACAGGCTGGAAGGAACATCTTTCCCTCCACTTGATCAGGACACTACCTCTGAGGACAGTATTATATCCGGTTGATAAAATTATAAGACAAACTTTGGTTGGGTGGAAGATTGCAGCCCTTTAAACCAGCAACACTGTAAAGGAAGAAGCTATTCCTTTGCCTTCTGTTACTGTGGCTTCTTCGGGGAATTTCCAGTGACCACAACTGGTAAAGGCAACGCCAGCCCTCAAATGAAAATATGCCCAACCA